GACTATGGGTTGAAAACCGTTGGATTATATAGAGATGATGGGCTTTGTTGTTTTCATGGAATTAACGGACCAAAATAAGAGAGAATAAAGAAAAACATCGCTCGTCTTTTTAAGGAGAAATTTAATCTAAAACTTACTATAAAAACCAACTTAAAATTTGTAAACTTTCTTGATGTTACCTTCAACCTGTTAGAAAATACTTTCCAGCCATACAGAAAACCAGGTGACCACCCATTATACATCAACGTAAATTCTAACCACCCTCCTAGTATTATTAAATCCATACCAACTATGATATCTAACCGTATTAGCAATATTTCATCTAGCAAAGAAGTTTTCGACAGAGCAACATTGTTTTATAACAATGCGTTAGCAGCAAGTGGGTTCAATGAAAAGATTACTTTTCAAAAAAATCTTACCCCACCAAAACCAAAATCAAGATCACGAAACATTATTTGGTTTAATCCTCCGTTTTCGCAAAATGTAAAAACCAACGTCGCAAAAACTTTTCTAAATCTAATTGAAAAGCATTTTCCAAAGACACATAAATTTGGCAAAATTTTTAATAAAAATAATTTAAAAGTCAGTTATAGTTGTCTTCCAAATTTCACCAATATTATCAACTCACACAATAAAAAAGTATTATCTAATGTTTCTAACACAATTGTTCCAACGTGTAACTGCCGGCAACCTTCACAATGTCCTTTGCAAGGTAGGTGTCTTAGTAAAAATATAATTTACGTCTGCAATGTTAAAACATCACCACAGGATAGTGGTTTAAATTATATTTGTTTAACAGAGCACACCTTTAAAGATCGCTGGTACAAGCATAAGAACTCCTTTCAATACGAAAGTAAAGCTAATGCCACAGAACTTTCTAAATATATCTGGGAACTGAAAAAAAAGGGATTTTCAAATCCTATTCTTACGTGGAAAATTATTGATAGGGCAGAACCTTTTAAACCTGGAAGAAAGTTATGTAACCTTTGTTTAACGGAAATATACCATATCATTACATCACCTTTGAAACTATTAAATAAGCGAAATGAATTAATATCTAAATGTCGCCATGAAAACAAATTTGTTATCTGCAACTTTAACGTCATCTAAGCTAACACTGTATTGTATTTTTGTATATAATTTTTGTTGTTGTTATGGTTGTTTGTAACGTCTGATGATCGCATATAGCATGAAACTCTGAGTTATGTTACAAATTTAATTGTATTTTATTATTATTTTAATATAATATATATTTGCTCTACTTTTGTATTAAGCACTGTCTACCGAAAAATTACTCTTATTACTGGTATATATATATATATATATATATATATATATATATATATATATATATATATATATATATATATATATATATATATATATATATATATATATATATATATATATATATATATATATATATATATATATATATAGGGTAGATTAGGGTAATATAAGCACCTTAAGTGAAAATTAAAATATTTTCAAAAATAACTATGCTGGATCCAAAAGTTTTACGACTTAACATTTTTTAGGGATCCCTCCTCTTAATCCACTTTGATACTTAGGCACCCAAAATTTAATATAAAAAAGACAGAGGTTTTAAAAAAGTAGCAAAAGAGCTCATACTAAGACCGCTTGGTAATATGACCTCTTTAAATTAGCTCAAAAAAATAACATTAATTAGGTAAAAAGTTCCAATCTGACAATTAGAACTAATTTTTGGAGTAGAATGATTCGTTATTAATAAAACTTATCATTAACAGAACAATTTTTGAACCACTTTTTGTTGAAACAATACTACTATGTTTTCCGCAAAAAAATAAAAAATAATAATTGGTTACTTTTTCCATTTTTTTAAATCAAACCTTTGCACGATAAAAATTCAGATTTTTTGAATTTAAATTGCAGAAAAATATCTAGTATTATTCAAATTTTTACTATATTTTTTACTATAAATATTAAAATTTTTTCTATGTTTTGTTTTTATTCAAAAAGCAATTAAAACCACTGCTATTTTTGGACTTTAAACTAGAAAAATTCAATGAAAAACGCTGCGTAATTTGAGCGTGCCCATTTTGCACAAAATGGCATCTTTTAACAAAGACAAAACTAAATGTTTCCATGCATTGTTTTTCAAACAAAAACGGATTGAATTTTTAGCTAATATATTTTTCTTTATGAAAAAAATAATTTCATTGTTTTAGCACCAGAATTTCACGCTGCTGATTTATTCATGCGTGATGATATTATTTTAACAACGCAAAAAATTTAACAGCGTTTTAATTAGATGATAGACGCTAATTACTTCCTATAACTGTACGCTAAGTGTACTGATTCTTATTAGGACCACTTAAAGTTGATTCAAAAAATACAAAGCAACTTTAACTTCATTGCTTATATCTAAGAAATCTTTGAGTATGCTCATATCACTAAGGTGCTTATACTACCCTAATCTACCCTATATATTTATATATATATATATATATATATATATATATATATATATATATATATATATATATATATATATATATATATATATATATACATACAGTTAAATTTAATTTTTTACAGCTCATATTGGAACGAAATATTGTGTAAAGAAAGAAGCTATCAAAGAGGTCGTTCTAACAACAATAGAAAAGCTTCCAATTTGCAAGATAACCGCAAAGGCATTCGATACACGATTAAGGAATCGTTTGAAGGTTTGCTTTATTTAAATAGTGTAACTTTAATTTATTTTGTTAGAAATAAATCAATCAAGTTATATAAATTTGCTTTTTCTGTAAATTTTAAATATTTTAAACGTAGCTTTGCAAGATTTGCAATGGGTAAAACTCGTGGAACCCATACGGGAAACCCGGCGGATATACCCATATGGGCCCCAGAGAAAAATCGCGGCCAAGATCCGAATTGTGCAGTGCACATAAAGACTGGACTATTGACCAATGGAGAAGAGTTGTTTGGTCAGATGAGTCTCCTTTTGGTTTTTGATGTACTCGAGGCTTTTGTGTTTGGAAAAATAATAATGAAAAGAATCATCCTGGATGTATTAAATCCACTGTTAAACATCAAAAAAAGATAAACGTATGGGGTTGCTTTTAAGCGCATACTACAGGAAAGATTTAGAAAATTAAAGGCATTATGGATCAATACCAGTACAATAAGATCCTTGTTCATCATGTAAAGTCAAGCTTCATGGAATTATTTCCATATAATAACTACCTATTTCAACAAGATATTGGTCCTTAGCACACAGCAAAATGTAATAAAACATATTTAAAAAAAATATGTTTACATTTGACTGGTGGCCTAGTTAATCACAGAACCTAAATCAAATTAAAAACCAATAGTCAATACTCAAAGATAAAATCAAAAAAAGAACATGAAATGATAAAACTAGTCTTGGAATAGTCATGGAATAGCTTAGATCCATTGATATTAACAAACCTTGTTGAATTGTTGATAGTATGCCTAGGAGAATTAAAGCAGACCTAGCTGCAAAAGGTGCTATGAAAAAGTACTAATTTAAGAGAGTGTATTCAGAAGAAAATGACTCGATATTTGACGAGAAAAATTTTTATTGAAGTTCCTTGTGTGCAAGAAAATTGTAGATGCGACATGCAGTCCTCTTGTTTTGTCACTAAGAAGACCTTGATTGCCAATTTCTACATCATAGAATACCTACAAAAAAGACTTTTGCCATTTATGAAAAAACACAAATACTCATGTCTATTTTAGCCAGATCTTGCTGCCTCTCACTATTCTAAAAAAGTTCTACTGTGGTGCAAAGATAATAATGTGAAAATTGTTACCAAAGATGTGAATCCTCCAAATCGTCCAGAAGAGCGCAAGATTGAATATTTTTGGGCAATAGTTAAAGGAGTTCTTCATAAGACAGGTGGAACAACTAATAATAAAAAGGATTTCCAAATAAAGTGGATTAATGCCACTAATAAGGTGAAAAAGAAAAAATCTGCGAAATGATAACATCAACCAAAATTCGATCTCTTGCCAAACAGCCCATCAAACCCTTTAAAAGTAAGTTGAAACTCTAGTTTATGTAAACACATTTAATATTAAAAAAAATTGAAATAAAAAGTTTTTATGGTTTTAGAGAAATCTCAATTTAAAGTTAAACTGATTTTTCCGTCAATCCGATACTTGTATAAGCATGACTTTTATATATCAATAACTTAAATAAAATTATTCATTATATGTTTTTTTTTTTAATTTACTTAAGAGTTAGTAAACAAAAAACAAAATTTCATGGTCGGTTTTTTTGGCTATGTGTGTATGTATATATAATATGTATGAGTGTATGTATATATATATATATATAAAACATTTATAGCACTTAATTTTAGCAGTACTAAACATGTAAATAGTGTTACTCATATAAAATTAAAGCGTCTCAGGTCGGAGATTACAGTATCCCATTAAATGGGGTACATTGAATTTTTGCAAGGGTTGTTGTAATGTTGAAATATACCATGTTCATAAATTTTTATTGAAAAACATTTACTTTTTACTCAAAGACAGATTGTTCTAGTTTAGTTTAGTAATTAAAAAGTCTTTATATCGAGTTGTTCGCAGTTTAAAAAATACTGCTACAGCAATCAATGCGCCCCCATCTCCCCTTTATATTGAATCAATCTTAAATTATAAACATCCATACAAATTGAATTAACGTTGGATTATTGACATGTTATCAACGTTGGATTTAGAATGTAAAAGCAATCAAATTTCGCGATGGTTTTACCTACAATGGCTCATACATATGTGCAAGCTGTTTTTAGTTGCGTTGGTATTAAGCCTTTTATTTATACTATTGTTAAAAACATAAAAATTGGATCAACGTTGGATTTGCATCGGAAAAAAAAACCGACGTTAACGATGGTTTTACATACATTAGTACAATGTACGTGTGCTAGCTGGGTATTAGTATTAGCGTTAGAATTATTATTAAAATACAACCACTGATAAAAGTTAACCTTTCCTTTGCTATTCTGAATTGTCTGACAGCCTGCATAACACGGAGAACTATATGTGATCCCATTTGAGCCGCATACGGGAAAATATTTTTTTTCTAAACAGCTACAGTTTGAGTTGCATGGTGAACTTAATGAATTTTCCAGCAATCTTTACAATAAATAATTAAACATATAATAATAATGAAATATATATATATATATATATATATATATATATATATATATATATATATATATATATATATATATATATATATATATATATATATATATATATATATATATATATATATATAATTAAAAAAATTAAAAATTAATAACTTACTGGTTTGGATATGGTACTATTACACCAGCTAGATTTGTATTTCTACATCCAGGTATAAAAAACAATATAGAAAACAAGCCAGCGATTATTGATATAATAAAGCAAAACTGCATGGAGGTTTTTCCTGCTGCTTTTATTTTCCATTTGCGCATTATCAATGATCCACCCATTACACCAACTTTAATTATTAAATATTTAATAACCATCAATTAAATTTAATTTTATTCGTGCATATTACTGAATTTCTTAAGAATACTAAGCATGCTCTTTAGAAAAATATTTCGAAGTAAATCTGACCCCTCTAACTAAAAGTCTGACATTTTTTTGCATGCATCCAAACCACCATTATATACTAATATTAAAGACTAAACAAAAACAAACAAAACAAAAAAAAAAAGAAGGTATTGTTCATTGTTAACTATTAAACACGTTGTTAATTATAATAACTATTTATGAGACTTTTTAATGATTTTAATGTTTTTCATCTTTTGTAAAGTTATATTTAATAGTTTTTTAATTTAAAGCATTTATAATTATTATAAATAAAAACTTCTTTCTATCGCATTACAAATCGTAAATAGCTAATTTTTAATTTGCTAACTTTATATTTGATAAACAAAATGTTTAAATATAAAATTACCTATCATTGTGGGTGCCAAAACTGCGCCCAAAATCATATTTGCTTTATCAGGTGGAATTCCAAACTTAAGAATAAGCAACTTTGAAAAAAAAGTTCCAATGCTTACACCAAACAATGATTTTACTGTAAGTCCCAGTACACTTAACATAAAAGATTTATTACGGAGCATTTTGAAACTTTCTATTACAAAACCTTTAATTGTATATTTAACATTTAAGTCTGATTGGGGTAGGTTTCCTAGCTTTATTGCTTCTTCTCTTTTCTTATCTCCGCCAGGTAACTGTTTTGGAAAAAACAAAAGTAAAAACCCAGAGATCATCAAGAAGCCAAACATAACAAGAAAACCAAACCACCACGCACCAACCCACTCACTATCCTTAACTTTTAAGTGTGTTTTCTAAAAGTAAAATAAAAAAAAAAATAAGATACTAAAAATACGGAAAAAAAGTTTTGTATTTTTATATAAAAAGCTAAAATACATTTTTTAACAAAACGTTTTTTTGTAAATAATGTCTATATTATTTGTTTTTACCTGGTCTATATTTGTATACCTTCTCAAAAAAATACTTGAAATTATATACCCAACACCAGGCCCCAAAGTAGTTGCGGCAAACCAAGCCCCTAAGTAAATTGGCGTTTTATTAGGTGAAACATTTTCATCTAAGTAGGCAGGACCTGTTAAGAAAAAAAAAACTATTTTTTATGTATTCAATAGTAAAAAAAAACTAAAAAAATAAATTAAAAATTAAGTTATAACATTTTGCTATAATTGTTTTGTAAAATAAATTTTTACAAATCTTTACATTTTTAATTTTAAGTCTTCATGGATTAATTAGTAAAGATTTAAAGTTGTCATCATCATCTTTTTTTCATATCATTTAGCTAATGATTTTTCACAAACAAAAAAAACATAAAGTCTTGGTTAAAGGTTTTTACATTGTTGTGCGTACTAATCTACAAACTATATCAATAGAATAAAACAATTTGAAAGACAGAATAAAAACTGGCTTTAAAAAAAGCATTTATAAGTTAAATTTATTTTAACCTTTACTCTTACTTAGTAAACGTTTTGCATAGTTTTGATTTGATGACTTTTGGTTCAATTTGATTTGATGACGCTTAAATTGAATTTGCGCATAGATTTTTGTTGCGCATAAAGAATCAATCGACTAACTTTTAAATATCCTTACTGTTAATTGCAATAATAATACTAATAAAAGATATTATTATGGGACTTAATATTAACATGGAAAATATTATTCCTCTTGATTCAGATATATGATCACAAAAAAATAATTTTTAGATTCTAGATAGTAATCTCAGATGGAGTTGAATACTATATGACAATACTTATGCATTTTATTCAAATTTTACATGTTAATGGTAGCTACATTTACATGATATTTAGTAGTTACTGGCAAACATATGCATATTTATGGAAATTTATTTTAAAAGCAGAACTATAATTAAGTTGTTTAAAACAATTTTTTGTATGTATTATTACCTAGAGTATACAGCGGTGTTGTGCCAGCTCCCATTACAAAGTTTGCTATAAAAAATACGACAGCGTTGGCATTGTTTTCTGGTTGATTTACGCAATTTCTAGAAAGTGTTTTGTTTAAATTGCAAATATCTAAATCATTTTGTTCAAAATTTTTTGGTTGGTAATTACCAGCAATTAACTTTGGTAAGGTAAACATTAACGCTCCAATTCCTGAGCAAATAGTAAAAAGAATTTAGTATCTATTATAAATAAAAATATAAAAAAGAAATATACAACTTACATTTACATTTTCTGCATAAATGTTGTAATATTATAACTGCATTATTTTTTTACATATAGATAAACTGAATAAATTAAATTAAATTATAAAAATACCTGTGATGAAAGCACCTATTGAAAGTATAAGTGGTTTATTACGTGTAGATCCAAAAAAGCTAACAAGTCCGACGGCAATCACAGCCGACACGTCATTTCCAGACACAATTATGCCCATTACTTTGCTGCTTAACCCGAACTCTTTTTCAATACTTGCTATAGATGCCGTAACAATGCCATTGACTACAACACCTAATAAATACAATAAGTGTTATGCATAAAAGCAATGTTTTATTTCTAACAATATTTTATTGTTATATAATTACATAATAGAGTTTTATAATATAATTGTATAATCGGGAAGCAATGATTTAAAACCCTAATGATGTGAATGAAAATAGTGTCAGTATTTGTAAACGGCATTTATTTATTATTAAAAAAGAACAGCATTAATAAATCATCTCAAAGATGAGCATTTTAAATGAGTTGATCGCCCAACAATTTTAACGAGAGAAGACAAATGTTGACTGTTTATACAATTTAGAAACTTGAAGACAAACGTTTCAAGATGGTGTTCTAATAAACTAACATTTGTTATCAACTAACAGTTTTTATTAATAAACTAACAATTGTTATCAAGAACTAACAGTTGTTATGAAGAAACTAATAGTTGTTATTAAGAAACCAACAGTTGTTATCAAGAAACTAACAGTTATTATCAAGAAACTAACAGTTGTTATCAAGAAACCAACAGTTGTTATCAAGAAACTAACAGTTGTTATCAAGAAACCAACAGTTGTTATCAAGAAACTAACAGTTGTTATCAAGAAACCAACAGTTGTTATCAAGAAACCAACAGTTGTTATCAAGAAACTAACAGTTGTTATTAAGAAACTAACAGTTCTTATCAAAAAGTAACAGTTTTTATGAAGAACTAACAGTTGTTATCAAGAAACTAACAGTTGTTATCAAGAAACTAACAGTTTTATCGAGAACCAGCAGTTCTTATCGTGAAACTAAGAGTTGTTGTCAAGAATTAGCAGATGTTGTCAAGTTACTAACAGCTGTTATCAAGAAACTAAAAGTTGTTGTAGAGAAAATTTATTTATTGAGCACAACTCAAAAAATATTAACTGTAGATAAAACAAAATTTAAAACCATTGAAAAATACACTCAAAAAAAGTTGGTTTTATAAAACAATGTTTACAGTGCAGTTTGATATGCTTTGTATTGGTTTTTTAACTACTTGTCAACCCAGTGAAAAGGCTAAAAGGGGAATTATTTTTAAAAAATTTCAGAACTAAATTGACAAGCAGTCATCTCAATTGACAATATCTTACAGTTACAACCAACAATTGGTAACATCTTTAAGAGTTTCAACATCCAGAAACAGCAAAAAGTATAGAAATATTTAATACAATTAAACAGTCAATTTTTATTACCATACGTTGTTTATAAGGATCACCTGGTAAAACTCAGGAGAATACCCAGTACAACTGTTCTCCTTACGAGTAAATGGGATCTACCCAATTTGCGGAATGAAATGAAAAAGACATTTATTGCAAAAACAACCCATGTAGCAAATAATATTAGAGTAATAACTACTATTTACACAGTATAAACAGAAGTAAATATTTCTTGGTACTTGGTAAATAATTTAATCAAGAAGGATCAAATATATATAAAAACTATTACAAAGCAAAAGATCTAACCTGTCTATACAAATAGTATTTTAGAATCTTTGGATAAAAGTGTTTTCAAGGCTGGCAAAGTATCTGAAACAAACAGCTTTAAAAACTTTTATATAACAACACAATACAAAAATTTAGATAAAAAAAGTTTTAACGCAATTGCTGAAACTGGTTTTAGAGTGGCATTTAGTGGAACAATCCTGAAGAGGCTTCTTAAAACATGTGGAACACAACCCAAATTTTGCATTTAATTGCAACTTTATTTTTATTATTATTGTTTTTTTTAATATTGATTGTTCAGTATCAGCCAATAAAAATGTAGTTCTAGGCGCGAAATTAATATCTATGTAAAGTATATTTAAATATAGTAGGTTTGGAAAATAAACCAACAGATCTGGAATTCTAGTATTATTTTATATGCTCATTACATGGAAGCTAACTATTTTTATTTAATCATTGTAAATCTTGCATCTCTGTTAAAAAGAAGCTCACTTTAAATAATGTACTGGAACTAATATTTTGCCTTTATTGAAGTTGTCAATTTATTATCAATGAAGCTTATTAGGTAAACCAAGCAACTAACGGTACTTAATTTAATGTTTCTAGATATTTAAACAATCACGTGGTTTGATGATTATGCATAAAAAAAATCTGTGAAACATTTATTTTATTACTGAAAACTAATTTATAAATTTTTAAAATATAAAAAAAAGGAAAGTTGTAAATCATTTTGATAAAGAAAGAACAACACAAGGCATAGTCTAAGTCTAATTACAAAGTAAATCAAAAGTACTTTAAACTGGATCACTCATATTTTAACAAGAAGTCATCCATAAATTACGTCACGCAATTTTTGACCGCTTTTGACCTTCCCCCCCCTCTTCCTCCTTGTCACAATAGCAAGTTTTGTATGAGTCATCACAAAACCATCAACCCCCTCCTCCTCTTATAGCGTGACGTAATATATAGACGAACCCTAATAAGCGTTCTAGTGTTTCAACATCCTGCACTAAAATTGGGTCTTGAAATCGGTTTTGATCAATTTAAATTAAATGTAAACTTGAAAAAAAACGAGCATTCATTACAGGAACATGAAAAGACTCCCTAATATACTATTGAACAACAAATAAAAACAGAAAAAAGAAAGCAAAAAACTTTTTTTATTAATTCTATATAACAAAATGGTCATCGTTGATGAGAAATACTTTTGTTATGCAGTTAAAACATGCATAGAAGTTCTGAGCACACGACATAAAAGTAAGATGTCTAGAAAGTTTCAATTTGTGGGAAAAGAGAATATTTAAAAAAAAGTATTAATGTAAAGTGCCATTGGAATGTCTGAGCCATTGTTTTGTTTTGTTGCCATTGTTTTCCCCTATAAGAAAAATAAGCACTAGAAGAGCTCCTGGTGCTCTACGATAAATTCCCTTAGAGAGTAGATTGAAGAGTTAATTTTATAATGCGTATATATTAAATCAGTTTCACTTTTTATATGAAAATTATACACCTGATGCTATAGTTTGTATTTTCAAGTAATATTTGTTATTTTTTAAGTGCTTTTTTTAACTTGGCTGCAGTGAGGATTCAGATTACTGAACCCTCAAGAATATCAAATACCTGTTCCACTAGTATGTAGTAATCAAGTATGCCTTAAGTACAAAGTTAATAACGACTTAACCAGTAATAATTTCCCAGTATCAGCACGAATAAAAACATATTTAATTATAAACAAATTAAAACCAGTATCTAAAATATTATTTAAAAACATAAAATTGAAAGACCTCAATAAGAGAATAGAACTAATTAAACTTGATCTACCAATGACAAAAAATGAGCTAATAAGTATTTGGTATAATGCAATCAGAATAGCAATTTTATGAATTTTCTCCGGTTAAAAAATTTTTCTGTCAAACAACTAGAACACATTGGATTGGTGAAAAAATAAAAAAGTTATGATAAAAAGAAGAGATTGCTTAGGTAAAAAAAAAGGAAAAATATATAGATTTTACTGATAAAAAGAAAAAGAAACTAAGGATATTAAAAAATAGATAAGAAGCCTTAAAGGATATCTGAAGTAGACAAAAAAACAGAAACATCCCAAAGCAAAATCACTAAAGGTGGTTGGAAGTATATAAAGCTAATGTGTTTTAATACGAAAGACAAAAATCAAATACAATCAATTTACACAATCTTAATGACCATCTAGCTTCAGTAGTACAATGCAAAGATAGGACTTCATTAGTATGGCTTAACAGATGTGACCAAAATGATAGCTTTAGTTTTAGGGTAGTAAAAATAGGAACCGTATTGAGCGTACTTTATCAAATAAAAAACAACTCATCAGCTTGACGTGATGGACTTTCACCTTATATAATCAAACAATTGACAATTTCTCTGGCGCCAAATCTAGCCATTGTTTTCAAAAATTCTACAAACAGCGCCGACGACATAGGTTTCGAAGTGTGTGAGTGTAGGAGGGGGGTGGGGTGGGGGCGAACAATTGTCAATTCTTAAAAAAAGTCTTCTATATCTAGAGTTTTCTTAAAAAAAAAAGGTCCTTTAGAAAAGGTATCTGCTTGGGGGGGGGGGGGAGGACACAAGCCTCCCGGCCCCAGCATCCGGCCCCAGCATCCGGCCCCAGAGTGAAAAACAAAAATAAGTTTACCCAATGAAATTAAGAGGAGCACCTCAAGGTGGCCTAAGCCCAGAACTACTCAAAGTCTATATCAGAGATCTTCCACAAGTATTATTAACCGAACTTTATTTATTTGCATAAGGCATTACCCTATCAGCTGCAAACAGCTTTTAGCATGTTTTCACTGAGAAACTGATCAAAGCGTTTGGAGATACCAATGAGTTCTGTGTTGATTATGGTTTCACATATTTCAACCAATAACTTATGTAAAGCTATTAGAAGTCACTATAGATTGGCGTTTCTATAGCAAAAAACAAATTGATTTAATTATAAAAAAAATGCCACTTTGGCATGGGAGTATGAATCGAGCATCTGTCAAGCTTCCAAGGAAGCAGTTAAATAGAGCATACAAAGAACTTATACGTAACCAATTAGAATATGCTAACACATTAAACTTTGTATAATCCAAAGTACAACTGAAGAGGCTTGAAGTATTACTAAATCAGTGTGTTCGAATTACCTGTCACGAACCTAGAAACACTCATTTTGCTTCCATTTTAAACGAACTAAATCTTGATACCTCAGAAAAGAGAAGAAATGCTTATGTAACAAAAATAGTCAGCTTTATCAGGAATATGCCATCCATCTATGGCTAGCATTTTTAAAATAAACAAAAACTCAAACCTTATAGTTAAAAAAGCAATAAATCGTTAAAGAAACAAAGGCTTTGATATTATAGGAGCCAACATTTTTGATAAAGTTAACTCCTAATATATCCATATTGTATGCTATTGGCATGTATTATTCAAGCAGTGGGACCTAGGAACTGGTTAATCAAGAGCACTTAAGAACAATAATAATAGTCTAATTTTTTGACCCTGATTACATTCAACATTTTTGTATTGACAATGAAACATTTGCAGCTAATATGGACAAGAGAATTCTTGTTCGTGAGCTATCATGCTCACAGGCCTACAAAAAAATAAATATAGCAAACTACAATATAGCTTATCTCTGATAAAGACTCAAGTAATGGTATTGTAGATTTTGAAAGTTTGAAAGTACTTCTTCTTTAACTTATTTTATTCAATCACTTTAAGAAAGAAATCAATACATTCACTTCAAGAAACAAATGGTATTTTGGATGATGGCAGTACCCTAGAAAATTTGATAAACATTGGCAGTGTTAGCATAAGTAAAAGTAGCATGAGCCAGTGTATGTTAATATCGAGGAAAGGGAGTAATTTGAATATAGTGGGAGTAACTGGAATATAAAAGGGAGTAATTTGAATATAGTCTCTGTGTAGAAAATTGGTTAGTTCCATGGATTTATAAGCCTTATTTACTAAACTTATACCTGAGTGATTTTGTTTAAGAACGCCTTGAACTACGCAATAAGAGAATTGGTTTAGAGAATAAATTATAATAATTTATTTAGAATATTAATTTAGAAAATAAATAATAATGTTCATATAAGTGGATTTGTTCGTGACCAAAAGGTTTCATCTTTAATTCAATCAATTTAATTCAAAAATTTTTTGTAAGTTCCAACTCAAAAAAAAAAAAATTTAAAATGAGCGTCATTTTGAAAACATGGTTTTGTATTCATTAGGAAAAATATGCTCTTTAACGTAAAAAAGTCTTTATAATTTATCTATATTATTTTAGTTCCAAGGTTACAGGAGATATAGAGGTTGAAGGAGCTCCAACAAATGAAAAAAGAAAAAGTCGTAATGAAGTGGATATTTTGTTATAAAAGATAGTATAATATTCATCTTAATTAAGTTTATTATGGCATGAAAATATACTTGGTGTTATAGATGGATGATTGTATACTTGGTGTTAACAGACGTTTTAAGATTAACATATTTTATTTAACAAGGTTGAATATTTTATTTATTGTATTTATATTGTGATTACCATAAATTATAATTACCACCATTTTTATATTAATATTTGAAGTTTTTATGACAGGACAGTTTCTTATAAATACAAACTCTCCTTGAACTGGTTTTAATTCAGTCTACATTGACCAATCTTGAGTAACTACAATAAGTTTAGCCACGCGTTTGTATCCTGTTCCCAGAATCGCTGCTGTATCCAGTTTTCTATTTTTACTTCAGCAATATTTTGAAGATGAAAACCATCCAAAGAAAATGGTAAGTTTTTATTTGTTTCTGATTATGTGAGTATATCCATAATGTGTTGCTCTTGACAAGCAAATATTAAATGAAGGGTATCATACATTTTAGCTGTAATTTTTTTTTTTTAGTTGTCATGAGGAAAGCTTGAAGGAGGATTGTGACCATATTTTAATGAATACTTAACAAATCGCTAGTACATGTAACATGCACATTCAACAAGATATTAACAGGCCATAAAAATAATTATTTACTTTAACATGTTTGAATGCCGTGAGTAGAAAGGGTAGTGACGAGGACAGTAATATAGAAACTCAACAAAAAAAGCAAAAGATATTTTTTATATAAATAATAGTAACGTGTAATATCAATTTTATTACTATATTAATTATAATGTTAATGTTTTATTATTTTAATGATAAAAATAGAAATTAATAATCAACCACGCTTTACTACTAAGTAGTAACAAATGGCTTTTTTTTCGCGGCTTTATGGTTAGACTTTAACTAATTATATATTATGTAACTAGACGTCTAACTTGGGGGATTTTATTGGACAAAAAGTGAAGCCGCTTTTTTTTGTTTATAACAATAGTCCGCCATTTGTGTAGAATAAAAGTTAAAAAATGCAAGTCAAAAGTTCCCAATAAATTAAAGATAATTCAAATACAAATTTTAGTAATTACAAAATATTTTTAAAAGTTTTTTTACGAGCTTATGTTTATTAATAAGTATTTTAATTCATAAAAATGTTTCAAAAGCGTCTGTCGTTTTACTTTTCTATTCAAAACTTTTATTCGAAAATAAATTAAGGAATCATAAATTATAATTTTACAAGTATTATAATTTCCGCTTAACACTTTTACGTAAATAGTGTTTAAATTTAAAATATATTTACTTCATTTAAGAAAAGTTAAAAATATTTGTTTACAAATTTAATCCGCCATTTGTAAAAAGGGCAAAAAGCAGCTTTAATTTTCGGATCAAAGTTAGACATTTAGTTATATAATATCATTAACCTTAACTGATATTCAGTTAAGGTCAATATCATTGACCTTAACTGATATTCGGCGCGGACGTTTTTGTCAAAGACGTCCGCGCTGAATATCAGATAAGGTCAATAATATATTATATAAAAAAAATCACGGAACATCCCAAAGTTAAGATGTTCTGTGATTTTTTTTTTCCAATATAAAATACTCGTGCAAGTGATTTCTAATTCCAAATTTGAAAGTGTGGATTTGTGAATTGCGATGCTTTGCGCTTAAATGAAGAAAGTTAATTTTTTTTCACTCTTACCCAGTGGGGTATATATATAAAAAAAAATCACGGAACATCCCAAAGTTGGGATGTTCTGTGATTTTTTTTTTCCAATATAAAATACTCGTGCAAGTGATTTCTAATTCCAAATTTGAAAGTGTGGACTTGTGAATTGCGATGCTTTGCGCTTAAATGAAGAAAGTTAATTTTTTTTTCACTCTTACCCAGCTTACCCAGTGGGGTATATATATAAAAAAAAATCACGGAACATCCCAAAGTTGGGATGTTCTGTGATTTTTTTTTTCCAATATAAAATACTCGTGCAAGTGATTTCTAATTCCAAATTTGAAAGTGTGGATTTGTGAATTGCGATGCTTTGCGCTTAAATGAAGAAAGTTAATTTTTTTTCACTATTACCCAGTGGGGTATATATATAAAAAATGCTTTAATGTTAAGAGTTCTTGAGAGTGCTTTTGATAGAGCTCTACTAACACTCTTATAAAAACGTTCTTTGGTGCTCTACTAAAATAGCTTTTGGCAGAATGACGTGTAGGAGACCCCTTTGAAGAGGATCTTTGGCGAGCTCAAAGAAAACCAAATATAGAGCTCATTATTCTCAGAGGGTCCAAAGTTGTAGCAAATAATACTGTGTTGATGAATGTTTAGAAAAAAAAATCACCTGTGAAATTAATTCTGTGTTGATGAATGTTTATAAAAATAATTTTTCCACTCATTCACAAATATCATTTAATTTATTATTTTGACCAGATTTAGCAATTTCTAAACAGTTACTCTAAAGACTCTAAATGGACAAGCTTATTAATTATATTGATAAGAAATCTAATCCACCATACGCCCCTCAAACACGACCAAATGAGATTTGCTAGGGGCATTTGGCTCAAAAGGTTTACGGCAAGCCTCATTCGAGAATGTCTTGGTTTATCGCATCAAATTATAACTAAAATAAATTGATTCAAATTTTTTATGCTCATGAAAATTGTGAAAACAAAATGAGATCTACCGCAAATGAGTTTTCCATATAAAAAGTAACTGATTTTTATTCAAAAATGAAAGTCCCTAATACTTTAACTTGGAAAAACTTGTAGTAGTTTTTTTTTTTATTTGTTAAAAAGATAATAAAGTTTTTATTTTACCAATATACTATACATCGACCGTTTTTTTGTAAGTAAAATTTACGTATAATATAAGCTAATCAGAATCACAAATATTATGCAGCTAAATAGTTAATTTATCAATATAGCAAAAAAAAACATATTCTGAAACTTTTTAGCTAAAAAGATTCAGAATGTTTCTATTGCTAAGACAGGGCCGACAACACCTGGGGAGCCAGGGGCACGTACCCCCTTTTTTTCTAAAGGGCCTTTTTTTTTTTTTTTTTAAATATAAGAAAATTTGAAATAATTTTTTTAAGACTTGACTTTTTATAAGAATTGACGGTTGTGTCACCCCCTTAACCCCCTCCCCCAATTCGAAACCCGTGCCGTCGGCCCTGTAAGCTTCTTTAACCTTTTTATTTTCTTTACCTTAAATTGTTTTTCAAAAATCTCTTGACTTTTGAAAGTTATCTATTACCTTATTCAAAAGTTACGATTTATTTCTTAGAAATACCAAAAAACAAAAATATGAAAATTTAAATGTGAAAAGAAACAATTAAATGAACAGTTAAACAAACCTTGGGAGAACGAGAAAATGCTAAGAGCAACTAAAAAATATCCAATAGAATTAAACTTTTGTAAACATTCTGGACGCCATGTTTTTATTCCTAATCTTGTTTCATTTTTACTTGTTTTTTCATCATTACAAAACTTAGAATTTTCCGTCATTTTATCTTCATCATTATTTTGTATTGAATTTTCTGTCATTTTAAAATATGTTTACTTTTCCTTGTTAGTGATAAAAAAAAGTAAATAAAGCGGCAAATTACGCAATAAACATTTTGTAGAACAACTTTATTATCATCTTATATATCATCTATGACAAAATTCTTTCGAGATAATTGATTTTATAAAAATGTTTAAAATAGATTATAGAAATGACGCCACTAAACTTTTTGTAAAGTTGTAACAATACGCTAAATTTAAAAAAATTGTTCAAATATTTTTTTAAATAATATGTTATTAGTATTATTATATCTATTATTATATTAGTGTATATTTGTTATTATATTAAATATAATAATAAATATAAAAATAACTTAAATATAAATATAACTTAAATATAAATATAAATATAAATATAACTTAAAAAATATAAAAAATAAATTATAAAACTATAAAAAATAAATATTATAAAAAAATTATAAAACTATAAAAAATAAATATAAATATAAATATAACTTATTTTATCTACAATTTTATTTACTTGTGTGGTAATAATAAAATAATTTTATTATTACCACCCAGTAAATAAAATTGTAGATAAAATAAGTTATATTTAAAAAAAAGTAACGATTTAAATTACGACCAGTAAAACAACACGGCTTTCAATTTTCTTAGCCTTAAAACTAACAGCTAGGCGGTATGTTTTCCACAGTTAGATGGTTTTGCATTTTTAGAACATTCTGCTCCATCAAAGTTTTAAAAATTGCTCTTTGTTCTTTTAAGTTCCATAACTGAAACGATTCTTTTAATATTGTAACAAAATCCGCTTGCAGTTCTTCCGCAGATCGTGTAATTTTTTTTTCCCCTTCACTTGAAAAAATTTAAGCCAAGAGTGTTACATGTACCAATTATTTCATTTGTAAAAGTTTTTTTAATTTGTGTTGCCAGTAATTGCTTCGATATCAGTGAATTTTTCAACTGTCTGATAAATAGATTTACTTTATTTCGAAGTAGAATGGTTGAAATGTTCTCTAGTTTAAAAAACGCAGGTAGTTTTTGATGTATTTTGAGCATTTTATTAAAAGTTATTAGCGGCTACCATTTTATTGAAAGTAATTTGCGGCTACCATTTTACTAAAAGTAATTAGCGGCTACCATTTTATTAAAAGTAATTAGCAGCTACCATTTATTTAAAATTCTATTAAGTTTTTATGCAGTAATTAGCGGCTAACATTTATTTAAAACTCTATTAAGTTTTTATGCAGTAATTAGCGGCTACCATTTAATTAAAAGTAATTAGCGTCTATCATTTTATTAAAACTCTATTAAGTTTTTATGCAGTAATTAACTGCATTTTATTAAAACTCTATTAAACTTTTATGCACTAGTTAGCGGCTATCATTTAATTAAAACTTTATTAAATTTTTATGCATTAATTAGCGGCGTTTAATTAAAACTCGATTAAATTTTTATGCAGTAATTAGCGGCTCTTATTTTATTAAAACTCTATTAAATTTTTTGCTTTTTCTTTTGTTGTTAAAGTATTATCGTCACGCATGAATATTTCTGTGGCGTGAAACTTTTATGCTATAATATTAAAATTTAATTTTTCATGAAGAAAAATATGTTAGCAAGAAATTCGTTCCATTTTTGTTTGAAAAATAATGCAAAGAAACATTTAAAATCCTAAAATTGTAGTGGTTTTAATTGCTTTTTGTTTGTGTCGTATTTTTGTTATGTCATATTTGATATTGTTAGAGTAATTAAAAATTGAAAATAGTTTGATTATCAAATAAGGTTTTGGTGTACTTTTGTTTCTTGGAAAAGGTTGGGTACATTTAATGTGGACACTACTGAGTGATTTTTAGTGAATTTATCATTTTATTTATTATTTTACTTATTATTATGGTAATTATTATTATTTATAATTTTTTTTTTTGTTATTATTATTATTACTGTTATAAATTATTCCTATAGCTTATTATTTTATAATTATTGTTATTATTATTTAGGGGAGAGCGGGGTTGGTTGTCACGCGGGTTGGTTGTCACAAAGTTTATTACAGGAAATGTAAATAAGATATAGAAATTTCAAATTATGTAATGGAAATGTTATATAAAAAAAACATTTTTACATTAACTTTTATCTTTTTTTAGCGTGCAGAAGAAAAGTTATTCGTTTTTAAAGGTTTTTGATATGAAAAAGTAAAATTTCGCCTACTCAGAAATTTTCTTTTACCAAACGAACATTATTTTATTGTGTTTTGAATGTAGATTTATAAAGTACTTTATTCATTTGAGTAACTTAATCCGTAAAAAATTATCATGAAATTCTCACGCTTTTAGGTAAATGTACAGGTGTCCAGCAACTTACTCAGAAGGGGTTGCTTGTCACAAAATATATGGGGATGGTTGTCACACTTGCCTCGACTCCATGCGCTGCAAATTAATCGCCGCTTGCAGATTTTTTATTGGTTTTGTTTATTTTCCGCATTATTGAGGAATATTTTAATGTTTAAGATATTATTTAAAAATCTAAAGTCAAAGTGTTATATTTGTTTAACTAAATATCTGTAATCTAAATTATTTTTATTTCAACGTGCATAACTTTAGATTCCGATCCAATGTTTAGTATAATTATAGAAAAAGGATTGCAGAAGTTCAACTGTTTATTGTTTTGCTTACTAACTAAACAACTAGCTGTTGTTTTGTTTGTGCATTGTTTATATTTAGTGCATCTATTGTTTTGAATCATTTTCCAACAGCCGATCAAGAAAACAGTGGATTCAATGTCAGGTTTGCCAAAAACGGTCTCATGAAGAATGCACACCAGGCTTACAACAGTTTATTTGTGAATTGTGTTCTTTATCCAATAATTTTTAAAAAACTAAACTTAAAAACATTTATAGTGATAAACTAAATTTGTTAATTGTGTTATATTTAAAATATATATATTTCAGTTTATAGTATTTTATTTTTATTTTTCTTAGTAAAACATAAACGAAATTAATTTGTACTCGTTTTATATTATATTCTTATCTAAACTTGTCAAAATCCAAATGTGACAATTAACCCCGCACCATGTGACAACCTGCCCCGTGAGCGGGGCTAGTTGTCACACAGAAGTGGTCTTTGAAAAAATGATTTTACAGCAATAAATATTTCACTCAATGTCATAAAAGTATTATAATAGTTACTGGAAATAGTTAAACTAGCTTTGTGCAAAGTTTGGCATTGATTGGATGAAAATTAAAAGCTGAGCAGCCTAAAATGTAAAAAGTGTGACAACCAACCGCGCTTTCCCCTACCTTATTATTGTAAAATTGATTTTAAAATGAAAAATAAATAGCTTGTTGTTGTTGTTGTTGTCGTTGTTTTGAATAAAAAAAAAACTTAGTAAAATCTTTCAATATTTTAACAATGCTAATTATCTTTCTGTAATTTAAACTCAATTAAAGTTTTTAATTTTATAGTTTAATGGTTTGAATTAATAAAATTACAAAAATAACGAACAAATTTTTTTTAATGCGTAAAAAATAGACTATGTTTTAAATTTAAAAAAATTAGTTCGTTATTTAAATAAATTAAAATTCGCATTAAAAAAAATTAGTTCGTTATTTTTGCAATTTTATTAATTCAATATGAAGCAATACTACTATGTCATAGTAGTATTGCTTCAATTAAAACTTGTTTTAAAATTTGATCTTTTAACGATAAGTTTTGTTAGTAACGAATTATTATATTCCATTAATTAGTTATAATTGTCAGAATGGTATTTTTTTACTTAATTAATGTTATTTTTTTGAGCTAATTTAAAGTGCTCATAATACCAAGTTGTCTGGGTAAAATGAGCACTTTCGCTACTTTTTTAAAACCTCCGTGTTTTTAAGAGAAAGAAAAAACTTTTGGTGTTCAAGTATCTATATGAATCATGAGTAGTGATCCATAAAAGTTGTTTATTCGCAAAAACTTTGGATCCAGCATTATTTTTAAAAATATTTAAATTTTCGCTTAGGTGTTCTAAAATTATATTTCTAAAAAAAAATTAAGCTTCCTGACAAACTTTGATTGGATTAACATTTAAAGTCAGAAAAAGTTATTATACCCTAGTAGCAAACAATATTGGCGCAATATTAGGGCGATATTGTTTACAATATTGGCGCAATATTGTAAACTATATTGGGCCAACGTTGTAATGTGAACATTTTGCCAATATTGGCCAATATTGGCGCTACAATATTGCGCCAATATTGGCGATACAATATTGCACCAATACTGTTAAGTCAATATTGGCCATTATTGGCAAAATGTTCACATTGTAACATTTGCCCGATATAGTTTATAATATTGCGCCAATTTTGTAAATAATATCGCGCCAGTAATGGGGATATTATACTGGCCAATATTGGCCTAATATATTTTACAATATTTTCCTGATATATATAATATATATAACTAAATTAAGGCAATATTTTGAGTATTTTCGATTAAATTTTTATTATTAAAAATTAATAAAAAATATTGCCTTCTACAAATTTGTAATAATTAAAATTTATAACAGTTTTCTTGTTTAAGTGATACTATAGTACTAGGCTGCATTATTCTTTTGATTTATATATATATATATATATATATATATATATATATATATATATATATATATATATATATATATATATATATATATATATATATATATATGAGTATATATATATATATATATATATTATATATATATATATGAGTATATATATATATATGAGTATATATATATATATATATATATATATATATATATATGAGTATATATATATATATATATATATATATATATATATATATATATATATATATATATATATATATATATATATATATATATATATATATATATATATATACATATATATATATATATATATATATATATATATATATATATATATATATATATATATATATATATATATATATATATATATATATATATATATATATATATATATATATATATATATATTAGATCTTGTAAATAGCATGAGTGATTCTTTCGATAAAAAGCAATTTGTATTAGGGACTTTTATAGATTTATCTAAAGCGTTCGACACAGTTAATCACAATATCTTACTTAAAAAAATGGAAAGATATAGTGTTAAAAATATATCCCTTGACTGGTTCAAAAGTTACCTGAGTAGCAGAAAACAATGCGTTGTTACAGATCATAATAAATATTCAGACCTACTAGAAATAAAATGCGGAGTTCCCCAAGGTTCCATTCTGGGTCCCTTTTTATTTCTAATATATATCAACGATCTTCCAAAAGCCCTAAAAAAACTTGATGTAATAATGTTCGCTGATGATACAAATTTATTTTACTCATCGCCGTCTATAAGCGACCTTTACGAATCTATGAACACTGACCTCGAAAACCTCAACATCTGGTTTAAAGTTAATAAATTATCTTTGAATACAGATAAAACAAAATATATCTTGTTTCACTCCAACCGTCTTAAAAACTTTATACCAGACACTCTACCTTCACTAAAAATTGATAACATAAACATCAATAGAACTGAAATAACTAAGTTTCTTGGAATAATTATTGACCAGAATATTAATTGGAAAGCCCATATTAATATAATAAACACAAAAATATCAAAAAGTATCGGCGTACTCTACAAAGCCAAACCTATGCTTTCCCAAGACAACTTAAAAATTCTCTTCTTTTCTTATATTCAAAGTTACCTAATATACGCTAATATTGCATGGGGAAGTACCCATAAAACTAAATTAAATTCACTCTACATACATCAGAAACATGCATCGAGATTAATTTATAATAAAGATAAATTCACTCATGCCGACCCTTTACTTACAAATTTGAATGCATTAAATATCTATCAAATAAATATTTACCAAAATATCTTATTCATGCTAAAATACAAACTCGGACTTGTTCCGAAATACTTTACTGATAGCTTTTTTCATATCAACGCAAACAAATACATCACACGAGGAACAGGCAACTTCACCCTGCCTTTAAAAAAAACAAAATTCTCGCGATTTTCTTTAATATACCGTGGCCCATACTTACATAACAAAATAAAAATTCTTAAAAATATGGAACTTAATAAAATAGATAACCTTATTGCTCTGAAAAAAAAACTAAAACATATCATAATTAACTTAACCGACTTCATCGAAATGTATTAAACAATTTGTGAAAAATAGTAATAATAAAAAGCCCTACTACTTCTACTCTATAGTAGATACCAAAATACTTATGTGTATTTGTTGAACTAGTTCATTAAAGTTTATTTTATGTTTTAAAGGTTCTCGATGAAAAGACTATTTTAGTCTTCTGCGAGTTTCCTTAAAACAAAGTAAATATTTTTTAAAGAATAATTTTATATATATATATATTCAACAACGTCCACAGGCAAGTCCCTAGTAGCCCTGTGGTACGACGGACTTGCATATATTTTTTAAATGCATGGGTTAATAGCCAGCACTTTATATTATAAACAACGAATAGTTTTGTACACTGTACAACGCGCATGCGCTAAACAGAATTTTGACTTGTAAAGATTTTAATGGTACAAAAATTGTTTAATTGTACGTTTTGTAGTTATATGTAAAAATATGTAATTTTGTTTTATTGAAATATATACGGATACTTTTGTTGTAAAAAAAAAAAAAAAAAAAAAAAAAAAAATATATATATATATATATATATATATATATATATATATATATATATATATATATATATATATATATATATATATATGTATATATATATATATATATATATATATATATATATATATATATATATATATATATATATATATATATATATATATATATATATATATATATATATATATATATATATATATATATATATATATATATATATATATATATATATATATATATGTATATATAAACTAATGTATTATACTCTCACTATGAGATAGTGGGCATCGACTTTCATTATTTTGGCTCTTACTTCATTGCTCAATATTGGGCGTTGCTCAGTTACGGTTCTATTTTTCTTCCGTAATCTCTAATAATGGCCGTCCCCAGTAAACTGCCAATTTATTCTTTAATACTTTTGTCAGTAGCGATTTCGAAATGAACGAATACAACCATAAATGACTAAACACAATTCTAAAAAATGTTTTTTTACAACACAATATAATTTTAAAATATATAATTTTTTATGTATAAATATGGTCAAATAATTAGCTTTTATTAAAATATTTATTTATTAAAAAGAAATGGGATGTAAAATACAAATATTGTGCTTTACCTATAACGACCTTGCAGGACGTTTTTGTTTCCTTCTAAACACTGATGAAAAACATACTTCTTTGGCCATTAGCTGTATTAAGATTGCCGCTGTAAGTTGTTTCTCATCTCTTTAAACCGAAGTAAAAAAGTTCATCTAAAATAAGAAAACAAATGCAATATAATTGGTTGTACTAAAAATATAATGGTTCCTCATGTGTATGTATTAGACGGTTTTCCATAATGCGATTCTTATCAAAATATGACTTTATAGAAAACAAAAAAAGAAATTGGTTATAAATAGAAAATGACATCTGTAGCGGTGAATGCACCCTACATATGTCATAGATATCTGAGATTAGTAGTCATTGCTACACAAAATACATTTTTAACTGGGCATAAAAGATAAAAAACACAATAAAATGTAATAAGCATTTATATAAAACATTCTGATATACAACATAATTATAGTCAATCACGTATCATATTGGATCATTTGTTTGTATGTTTCATATAAATGTATCATATATTTTAATAATTAGAAACTTTAAAAGTACATGGTACTGTTTCCAAAAACTATTAACTAATATCAATTCACTGATATATACTATTGATTCATAAGGTGTTTTTGTTCCATAATTTTTCTTCGAGGTTTAGAAGATCTTTTTTCCTCAATAACAGGCAAATAAATTTAATAAATCGAAAGAGATAGTCAAGCAAAGCTCTGATGGAATCACTTAACCCTAAAACACTAAAGATTTCTTTAATCTTTGAGAAACTGAGAGACAATCTCATCAGTGTCATTTTTTTTGTAACCTGCATCCTTTTAAGCTGGAGGAACAGATAATTTCATTCTAAAGCAGTATTATAACTGTCAAAATAAGTATAAAGAAGAGATGAAACCATACTTAACAATCAACATTTACTATATTTGAGTCAAACATAGCTGTTTAGATAAAAAACAAAGACAATACTGTAGATAAAACAAAAACAATATTGTAAGTAAGACAATTACCAAAAAATTCTTATTTTCAGCTGCTACTTTTAAAAGCGCGACTTTATGTATGGAAGCCTAAAGGCAAGATGCTTGCAAGTGATTTGGCCAATACACCAAACTTTCATTGATACGCCATGAAAAACAGATTACATTCATGGCACACATGTTGTTTTTTCATTGAAAAATTCAGCCAGAGCAAATTTTGTAAACTTTATTACCACCTTCAGTTTAACGGTACTTCAGCTAAAAAGTAATCTCAAATAAATATATGATATAAAAAAACTTCAGTTTAACTTTTTTTTTCAGATTATTATTTTGCTTTAACTGAAAATATTAGTCTAAAAATTATTGAGTTACATTTCCTAATGTTTAATGTAATCGCTTTTTATTTCAAGTAGAGTTTCGTTATTGCTTAGTAAAAAAAAGTGAATTTTAAAGTTTATGTGGTTTGGAAAGGTTTCTATGATAATATTTTCTTATTTAAATATGACATTAAGGAAGATAAACAACTTGAGGCTCTAAGTAAATATTTAC